ACGGGGACATCGCTGCTGGGGGTGCCCGAGGGACAGTATACCGACGTCATGGACGCGAACCGCACACGATCCTCATTTTATTTATCAGCGGGTTCAGCATCCTCGGGTACGTCCTTCCGATGCTTTGAGCAATTTCACCTCGACATTCGATATTATCGATTCTCAAGTTTTATTCACTTTGGCCCGTTTAAAAGTCGGGGGGAAATCAGTACCACACACGTGCCTCCTCCCTTGTCCATGAGCTATACGACCACACAACTTGTACAGGCACACTGCACAATGGTTCGCTTGCGAGGATTCGATCCAAACGGCGCAACATGTTTTTGAACTCGGATCGAACTCAATCGTTACGAGGAGGGCCTGTCGATTCTTTCTAGACGAGCTGGACCATTTGCGATGAGCTTGTAGGCATACTTACAAACATGCGCACAGCCAAGTCGAGCTGCCACGAAACCCTCCAAGTCTAGGTGTCCTTGCTCATGGTGGTGTGGAGTGTACAAAGGGACGTGACCCCTCGGAATGACGATGCGCCGAGCTAAGATTGCACTCGGCGCGGATTGATTATGCCAAGGTTTGATATCGAATTTCGAACTGCGATTACCCAGCAGAACAACCTTCCAGGCCAACTCTTGCTCGGGAATTTCAGCGTTACAATCGCTGTTGTGAGACACAGGCGCTTGCTCGAGTGGCAGCGCGAACAATTTACATGTGCCTTTCACGCGACGAGCAACCCCAGGCCGGGTTTGTGTCGCGCATTGTTTGATCGTTGTTTGGTCCGAAAATGGGATCTTGACGGCATTGTAGAGTCCACAAAATGATGTGGACGTATTGTGGCCAATTCACTAGCTTACCCACAACCTTGCTCGTAAGGACAATTCTCTCCAGGAACACATTCGTCGTCCTGTCTCCGCCTAAACTTGTTGGACAACGGCGGCGTGGCGTCCGATGCCAAGGAGAACAAATGCGCCATGCTGCCAGGCCAATTGCTTGAACGTTTTTCTCCTTGGTCAATACGAAAAACGTACAGATGCATTGACAAATTTTTTGAACAAAGAGAGCATACAAACATCAAGGTGGACGTCGTCCGTGCGTAAATATCCCATAAAACCTTGAAAAACGTAAATATTCAAATATTCGATATATTAGATATTCAAATATTCGATGGCTAACTGGACCGAATTTTGTAACTGGGGCGACGGTCTTGTCGCGCACGGCTTGTCCACGGCGGCAGGGTTGGACGAGCTGTCGGCAGCTTTGTGCAGACGATGTTGCTCGATTCGAATCGCCAACCGTGACCAGCTCAGTTGAGGACCCTGTCAACGGTACTTCCACCACCGTGCGATCGTTTTGCCGAACTCAAATTGGCCCATATACCACCACTGTTCGTCCGACCCCCGCTTAAAGCGGCGCAATCAAGTCGGTGGTCGCATTTGTAAACTAAGCGCCAACCCTCTTGGCCGTGAAAGGTCTTTGAACAGGCATCGTCATCTCTAATGTAAGTTCAATTGGAAGTGCGACCCCCGAGGCAACCATGCAACCGCGACACCGTTTCTGGCATGTTGTTGAACATGAACCTGTGGCGCAAGGGGGAGATCGCGCCACATGAATGTGCGAGGGGCTTACAAGCATGACGAATCCCACAGAAACGAACACCACCCGCCATTTTGCAAAGTGCTGTTACAATTCAACCACGTTGGTGAGGTGGCCCCCAACTCTCGCACGGTCTCAACAATTTGTAGATGTAGCGCGCCAATGGATGACAACGGAACGACAAGTCGTGCGGCCGCGCCGTCGACTCGCTCACTTGCCCGCGCCACGCGTACGGCAGGAAGCAGACACCCATTCAATCTTGCCGAGTCCTCGTGCTCTGTCTCCGGACGTGGAGCGGATGTCTCGGGCCATGCGGGGCAGGCCGCGTACGGCGCCGTTCGTGGTCGGCGCGTTGTCGTCGTGCGTGGGAGGCAAAGGGGCGATATATGCGCGTGCGTGCCGTGCTCTCGTTAGTTCACACTTTCGTTTAGTAAACAACGTCACCACAACGGACACCCCGCGCCGCCTCCACAAGTTCAAGCGTACCCAGTAGTCCCGGTGTCCCGTGACGGGACTGGGAGGCAGGCGCCATCGGTCGCCAACACCGCACGATTGCCGTGGGTTCCGTCCAACGGCACAAACTGGCTGCGAATTTGCACGGCACCGGCGGATTCCGTGGGGACGGCCCCCTCGACAAAATGCACGCGCGGCGATGGTTCGTCAACATGGCGCTGCCGTCATCGAAGTCGAAGTTTTGATTAGTTTTTTTCACCCGACCAAACTCAGACGTGTAAATAATATATATGTGGGTGACGCCAAGGTAATTTTAAAACTTTCACGCCCATATACCCATTATCCAAGCAAGAAATAAAAAAATATCAAGTCGTCCGACTAGTGCCGACGTTATGGATCAAGCAATCAAGAGCCGCGACGACACTCAACGTGGCGTCCGCTGGCGGACGCAGTGTGGAATTCGATGGCCCCGATGATGACGTCTAACAAGACGCGGCTGAGCTTCATCTTGGCAGGGCCGACCACCGACGTGGACGACAACGTGACGGCGCTGCACGAAACAGGACGAACAGTCCCCCCACAACATTGCGAGCATGGGCGGCATTTCCTTGCGCCGCTGTCCAAGAAGCGCGCATTGCCGCCCAACGAAGTGAATTCGCCTATCGAATCGAGGCAGATTCTCGACATGCCGTGTTCGCCAGCGCACAAATTGACCAAATTTACCGCCGTGACCAACCTTCACTATACAAGTAAGCTGACGCCGCGCGCGAATGGCGAGGTAGCGTCGCCGTCGTCCAAGTCATCGTTGAAAACGTCCCTCAGCAAGCGAGCGTACAACCGCGAACGCCCGCAAGCGCTGCGAACGAACGAGCGCCAAGAACGCCACGCCCTGCGATCACATGTCGAGCAAGTTGAAGCCACGTGGTCGCGCGTGCATCAGCAACGCCTCGTCAACCTCACGACAACACCAGGTGCAGCCGATTTGGCTCGAGAGAGAACGGTTCGCGACTCGACCTTCCAAGTGTTCCAAGCATTGTCCGACCGAACGCGGCAGTACGCCCACTTTTCACAAGACATGGCGCAGTGGGTAACCACGCTTCAATACCAAACACATGGAGACATGCAATGGCTAACTACCCTCGGCGCCGGTGCAGCCAGCCCCACACACCGACAACTCGATATGTACCATCAACACGCTGGTCGAGTTGGCGCCAAAGTGTTGGAGCGTTCGACACAGCCACCGTCGTTGCATACGGCGATTCAAGCACCGACGAAAGCCAAGCCACTACCGACTCTCAAGGTCGATCTGAGCCACTTGCCCCCTGGAGCTCGCAAGCGCATGTACAACCGCCTGCGTCAACGGCTATACCGACAGCGGGAGCTTGAAGAAGTGGATGCACTGAATACGTACGCAAGCGAGTTGAGCAGTGCTCTCGTGCAGCTGCACGCAGCAAAATCGGCGAACCCCCAAAGCATGCCCCGCGGGCACGACGTAGCTGCCAGTGCGGCGTTGCATGAAGCGATCGAACAGAACGCCACCCTCAAAGCCAAGCTTCGCCAGCATTGCGCTCTCAACGATCAATTGCAGCAGTGGGTGCATCACGTGTCGGATGTTATGCACTTGGACCGTCAACTCCTTTTTACGACAGCGTAAGTCGTTGCGAATTCCAACTCATCGCATTTGTGCGTCCAGTCGATATCGTGGGGGTTCGCCATCGAGTGGGCGATTGTTTTATCGTTTGCACGAGCTGTAATCAACGTGGCTAAGCTCAAGTGAGTGAGCATCGAACCTGCAGTCGGTCCGTCATCTTAAGGGCCACTCATGGAGGCTCCCTGGAGCTTGCTGGCCAAGCTCGGTGGGTTTGTGGATCCGACATATCCAACGTGTCGTTGTGTGACAAATCGAAATTCGGCCACTTGCTCATCCCATTGCGCTTCCCGTAGTCCGTTCCATCCCTTGAAAATGCATTCGAACGCCGACACGCGCAGGAAACACAAAGCCGCGGGCATAAAAAGCGTACGTGTATTCCTGACGCCGTTGGAATGCTTTATTTACTCAATTGATTTGGGCCACGACTGCCTTCAAATGTTTCAGTTCGCTCTGGAAAAAGTCGTCCACGCACGCACGCACGACCGCGTCGTTGGCCAGTCCATGCTCGTACACCGCCTATGAATACAACTTCAACCTCCACCACGCGTCATCCCAACCACGGTCAAGCCAGGGAATTTCGTTGAATGCGCACTCCACGTCAACCCGTACCCCAAAAATGTAGCCCATGTCGGCCATCAAGTTGGGTGGCAATGGCCCCCCCTTGGGATCCCCTTGTTTTTGTAGCAGGCGACCGTCTGCAATCGCCTTGCGAAACGTCATGTCGTCTTCCAGGGCCTGGAGCAAACATTGTAGTCATCCCCAATGAACATGCAAGTCGTCTCGTGAGCCCACGACGCACGCACCTGGAGCTTGACGAGGGCCGTCGAGACCGCACCTTCCCCGGCCGCGACACTGTTTTGCAACGTCACCAACGTACGTTTGTGATTGTCGAGCTGCGATTCAAGCTGCTCCATGTACGCCATATGCGATTGAATAGCTATCCATCGAATCATCATCCACTCAACCAATGAAACTTTGCAACGCACCCGACGCGGATGTGTCGTTTTTGTTCATGCCAATGTTGGAAATGGTACCGATGCCATTTAACGCGTACATGGCCATCCCGTCAGCTTCTTCCTTTGGGTCGAGCGATGGCATGTGCACCACCGCTGCTTCCATTCCTTGCTTCATGGTCGCGCATGCATCGACCATCTACGCAAAGAGCATTGCAGAAAATACTCATTCGCCAAGCAGTCTCTACCCTCCTTCGAATTGTTCGTTCTTGGGGGAACTATACCTTAGTCCACGTCGCTTCCAACACATGCAGCTGGGATCGCAAGTCCAAAAGCGCGGGCTTGATTTTTTCAAACAATAGACGCATGCCCTTTATCGAGCGAATGTTGTCGGAGGCGTTGGCCGACGTAGTCGAACACACAACCATCCGATGCTGCAGTACTTGCATGACATGAAGCAAAAACGACAGGTGCATTTGCAACGAGTGCAGGAGTTGATGGCGGTACATGGTGACTTGACCCCACAGCGTCGTCGCCGTGTCAACCCCCACCGCTTCGTACACGGCGCACATAATCACGTACGCGTCATATTCGCGGTCGTTTTCGGGGCTCATGCATGTTTGAATCGTGGATCGAGTGCTCCAGCTCAAACTCCCCATCGCTTGAACGACGTGGCGCACCATCAAGAGAGAATCCAAGGTGCCTACATCCAAGACCACCCAAAAATAAGTGTGAGAACGATTCATGTACACAAATTATTTCATAGCGTGGCGACAAGACCAAGGGCATTTCGATTCCAAACGAATCACGAAAGCTGGCAACACTCTGAGAAAATCATCTCCAATGAAATCAGTGTGGATTGCATACTAACCAAGAGGAGGGTCGTTAGTGAGGTCTTTTTGGGCCACGGGGGTCGATTTCGGAGCTGGTGGGATCGCATTCATGTCGCCCTTCGCTTGCCCCGACACTGCACTACTTGTCGCATTGGCATTGCTTCCACTGAAAATGGACACGACCGATTTCCCAATGCTGTCGATGAAATTATTGTTCTCCGACGAGCTTTTGGCTTTCAACGATTTCGGCGGCAGCGACAAGATAGACGACGACGACGTGATCGACGGAGGAGCAACTCCAGAAGTCGAAAGCACCAGGGCTGACGACGACGAAGTTGCAGATTTTGAATTAGTCAGTTCCTTGTCGTCCGTGGAATCGTCCTCGATCATTTCAACGTCTGCTGTCTTTTCAAGTGATCGGGGCATGGCCGGGGCGGGTAGACCTAGGGTGCCGCTGATTTGCGAACAGATTGTGCTGTTTTCTTCGACCCATTGGCCCGTCGCCTCTCGAAACTTCATGACCTCCGTCAGCCACTTCCTTCATCACATATGGAAAACGATTACCTCTTTCAACATGCGCTGAACCTTGGCTGGGTCAGTGTTTCGGTAGATCAATTGAATCGGCTCCACGCATGCCGCAATGTCGTTGTTGATATAACCTTGAATGCTCAGCACCTCTTTGAAACAGTTGCGCCAGTTGCGTTCTTGGTTTGTCTTAAGTTTGTCAAGTTCTTGCACGCCCATCGTCGTCATATCCGTCACCAGTTGGCGCATTTCACTTTGCACAGCCTGCCACGACTGCAGCAGCCGGCGAACGGCGTCCCCACCAGGTCCGTACACGAGCAAGTCGCCCCCTGGGCCAGCAAGCAGCCGTGCCTTTCTGCAGCTCACGATCAAATCCGCCATGAGCTTCAGCATTGCGTGGAGTCGGCAAAATTTATCTAATGACGACGATACTCATCAGTGAGAATTCATCAACACAAAGTGTCAGAATCAATCAAGTGGTCGAAGCACAGGGCAAATCACTCGGAACGAAGCAAAGTTAAGCTCGAGAATACCAAGCACTTGTCTCCGCACACAAAACGCAAGCCCTTACCAAATGCCGGTCCGGCAGTGTCGGGTGGCAGCGTCACCACGCCCGAGTTGGATTGTTTCAAAAAATCTGCGGGGTTCGTCATCGGTCCCAAGATAGCTGGGACAATCGCGTTCTGATGGTCATCGCAAAACACCTAAATCACACGGTTGGTCCCTCGTGGCACGTCGATTGCAACATATGTCGAATATTCAACACTTACCGCCGTTTGAGCGAGCAATTTCTTCTCGTCGGGGGTGTTCGTCAAGAGCAACTGCTGTGGTGAGTTGGCCTTTTCCTTTTGACTCGTGGCGTACGGCGATGCCGGAAAGAGCTCCTTAAACCCGGGTGTCTCAAGGAGTAGCTGCAGCATTTGACCCGACTTTGTACTCATGGCTTCCTGTGACAGTCGTCCACATAGAGTCGTTAGACACGACTTGAATCCGTATCCGCTACCTTCATGCCCGCATGCTGTTGCGATTGCAAATTCCCAATTGTACAGTCGGTTGGGGCATTTGGCGTGTTGCGAAACACGTAGAAGAGAAATTGAACTCCGTGGACGAGCGCGTCCTGCCCCTTTGCTTCGAGTACGGTCAATTGTTCTTTGGCAGACGCATGTGCGCGCTCAGTTTCAATGATTGGCAGCACTCTATCAGATAACTTTACTTGGACGAGTCGGCAAGTAAAGTGCCGAAAGAGTCGCATCCATGGCTGCATCCCACCAAACCGATCGCATCAAGTCCAAGAAAAGGAAGAGTTCGAGCAATGGACATTCAAAGGCAGTCCCACACAGCGTGCAATGTCTGCATCCAGCAGGCTCAATGTCTTTCACGAATCTTTTACCTGTATTCGAGGATCTCGCGCACATCCTTGAGCGTCGCCATCAACGAGCGTTCGCCGCTGCCACTCGTGAAGAGTTTCTGCTGCCCGTACTGAATCTTCTTGATGTATTGCATGCGGTTCTCAACTTCATTCACAATGTATTCTGTCGTGCACGAAGCGCTTGCGAGTACGTTCAAGGCCCACGCCTTGATTTCTTCGAGTAGAAGAGTCCTCGGGTCGTTCATGTACATGTTGAAGCTCTTTCGCTCGCGCCGCTCGGTCTGGTAGGCACAAATGCTGGAAATAATACCTTCGGCGGGATTCTTCAACAATCCCACCATGTCCTGCATCTTTCGGACAAACGTATGTTCGTCGAAGTCGCCGACGACGGGCATGTACAGCGGAACCTTGAACGCGTCGTCCATCTTGAGGATGTGCGGCAGATCCTTCGGCTCCTTATTGTACACCTCGCAGTACGTCTTATGCAGGAACGTCATCTGGTCCACCTCCAGCGCCGAGTACCCCTGGTCCCATGGATTCCATCGCACACCCCAGTTTGCCATGGTCGTCGACTGTGCTTTTGGAATGATGCATTGCAACCTCCGTTTTTCTATGCAGCTCAATATGGTATACAAAACACAAGTTCCACCGTGTCCCTTCTGGGGGGTGCACCCCCTCGACAACGGCCAGGTTCAGATCGTACTTAATACAACTCATATTAAGGTGCGATCGATGCTATAAAAGCATTTAGTTTGTTAAAGTGCGATAAATACAGTAACAGCATTTAATTTGGACCTGAGCCGTACATATACGATACGATGAAATTTGTTTAAGTACGGTCCGCGCCTCAAACGGATTGAGTGGGGGGACCCATCGCAATGGTGGTGATCGGCACACGACAGAGGGACGCGACACCCACAGTGGTGTGGGCGACATCTTCCAGGGCCAGCGGCGGGAAAGATGCGCGTTGTCACGATCTCTTTCTTGGGTTGATGGGCTTTGTTCGATCAAGGTGTAACTAGCCGTGATAAATCAGCTGGAAGATTAACATGTGGACGTTATAAGCGGTCGAGCTGTGCAGGACCGCCGAGCAGGAGCGTATCAACGTGATGGTACTTTGATGTATCAGCTTATAAAGTCTTCGATTCCTGGTGGTCGAAATCGCGTCTGTTTCTATCGTGCATGTCACGGTCGGCACGCCATGCACGCCTATGCACTCGATGTAGATGCAGGAAGCGCCAACGGCGGCGTCATAATTCCTTCCAACTTGAGTGTTTGCGCGATGTGTCCGCACGTGCTCGAGTTTTCCGCGACCCATTTGCTCGTCGACGCTTTGAAATCCTACACACACACCATTCAATCTTCCGTTCCATCCCGCTTCAGTACCTTGGCCATTTGAATGTTGATAACTGGGTTGGTCGCTTCAATGATACGGCGGATCGGGTCCTGCGTCGCTGCCACGTCGTTAATCATGTACGTTTCCAGCGCTAGCACACGCGAGAAGCACGTTCGCCATGCCTTCTCGCTGTACGACGACTTGAGTTTGTCCAGCTCAGCGACGCCACGCTTCTTCAACTCGGTCGCCAAGTTAATCACTTCTCCTTCGACCTAGCCACGGAAAGAACCCACATAAGCCTTCCTCGATGCCTATTGAATAACTCCTTGCCGCCTGGAACGTCTCCATGAGCAGTCGCAGGTGCGAGCCCCCAGGTCCATACACCAACAAATCGCCGCCCGTGCCTGCCAGGAGCCGCGCTTGGCGGCACGACACGAGCAAGTCGGCCATCAGTTTCAACATTGCGTGCATTTTGACGAATAGATCTACGAAGAACGGCACCGCTCCATCTCAGGAACGTCGAGAAATCACTCGAGAACGAAGACAACTTGGAACAACGGTCAACGCTGGAAATGACGACACGACGACGACGGCAAGATTGGGTACCATAAGTATCAGCCGACAGAAAGTTGACGACGCCGCCGTTGTTTTGCGTGAGGTAGGCCTTGGCAGTCCACGAGACTGTCGGGTTGGACAGCAGCACACTGGGAACGACAGCATTCGCCGACGAATCGGCAAATACCTATGACATACCCCACTTTATTCCATCGCGTGGCTCATCGGGTCAACGAGTATAATGGCAATACCGCATCGGCCAGGGCAGCCTTTTGACTCTCGGATGTGAGCGGGAGCAGTTGCGACGCGCCTCCTGTGACGTGGTGATGGCTTTCGGGGAACATTGTACTACACAGACACAATGTCGCGGGTTATAAAGGCGCTGCCACGTCAGCGACTCGAGGGAGAGAGACCAACCGCAGCGAGGGCGTTGAGAGCAGCAGCAACAGCATCTGGCCGGACTTAGTTGTCATGGCTTCCTATTGCATTTGGAGGAAACGACGAGAATGATTGAGGAACGATTCAAGGCGACTATACCTTCATGGCTGTGTGTTGCTGGGACTGCAGGTTCGTGATGGTGCAATCGGCAGGTGCGTTCGGGGTGTTCCGGAAGATGTTGAAGAGGAACTGAATCCCGTGGATCAACGCGTCTGTCCCGCGGGCCTCGACGACGGTCAAGTGCTCCTTGGCGCTCGCCTGGGCGCGCTCACAAGCGATCATGGGCAAGATACGAAGCTCAAGAATCTCACGGACGTCCTTTAGAGTCGTCATGAGAGTTCGTTCGGCATTGCCGGGTTTGAAGAGGTTGCCGCCGCCATACTGGAGCTGCGTGATGTAGTTCTTGCGTTTCTCGACCTCCTTTTCGAATGCTTCCGTCGTACACGCCGCGGCTGCAAGTCGCGTCATGGCCCAAATCTTAAATTCCTCCAACAGCAACGTTCGCGGATCGTTCATAAACGCTGTCCCAAGTTGGAATCGCTCAAGGCGCTCCTTTTGGTACCCGCAGATGCAACTGATGATCTCTTCGGCAGGTTGGCGCAGTAGACCCACAACGCCCTGCATTTGGCGCATGAACGTGTGTTCATCGAAGTCCGACTTCTTAGGGGTGTAGATGGGCTCGGTGAACGTGGCGTTCATTTGAAGCGTGTTCGGCAAGTCCTTGACGTCAATGGCCATGACCTCCAAGTACACACGATGGACAAACGTAATCTGCTCCAACTCGAGCGACGAGTACACATTCCCCCACGGATTCAGTCGCAGCCCCATCCTGGTCGATCGGCCCTGACGTCCTTGCGTGAAATGCCGTCGTGATTGCCAGTTGGAAGGAATGTCGGTAGGTGTAAAGAAATAAGATCAGTTTAACGCCTTCAATATTGCACCGATTCTCCAAAACACGAAGGAATTTTCATGAGAATTTAAGTAAATAACTCATTCACTGTGAGAAAATACCTAAAAGAATCGATGGGTTCAAGTTCAAGGACCAAAAAATGAATAAAACGCACTTTCGAGCAGCTTACCTGCCATACCACCGCCTACGAACCAATCAATTTCAATCGACTCAGTGTTTGCAGTATATGATTGGTCAATCAAAGGTATTCACAACCGCGATGCTGGTGCCCGCCCAAAAGCACCAAAGGAAGGCTGCGCCTTTCTAATACTGTAAGTGAGCTGTCGCTTCTGTCGCACATAATGGAATCCCCATTGCCCGTCCTACAGTGAGCGACGGGAAAATGTCCGCAGTGGTACTGGAGAAATATCTTGAAATTTGTAAATTCAATAAAATTACCCTAAACGAGAATTGACAGTATTTTTATTCACGCTGTCAGGTTGTTGTCGAATTGAATATCCACGATGATTGGTAAAAAGTATATTATTTAATGCCAGCCACGACCACGGCGGTCAGCAACAAATGCTACAATATTCGCAATAACTACAAATTTTTTGAAAATGAAATATATTTTCAAGTGACAAGCGACATTACAGTACAGTAGTCCGTGGCAACGCATTTTCAAATGAGCGAGTGATGATTTCACTTGGCATGTCCTCCCAATAGTGTGCTTAACCATAGCCATGCGTTTTTCAGCTGCAGACACAACCGGCTTTTCGTGAAGACACTTGTAACGAAGCTTGCTCTTCAATGGCCCCATGACACCAACATCCAAAGGTTGGAGAACTCTTGTCGAATTCTTGGGCAATGATTTTAAAACGCTAATAATACAGACGACACCGTGTCATGCGACGTCACGGACACTGGACAGTTAAGATTGTCAGCTAAAATCAAGTTGGCCCATCAATTGTCAAAATAGTTCTTATGCCCGTAACATGAATATTTTCTTGCCTTGAGTTCCTGGAATATGTTTTCAACATGCATGAGTACTTGTGGAAGACAAAATACGTAAAACCTCAGTAAACAAAAATTTAATGTGACATCGCTTTAGGTAATGCTCATTAAGATACCACTACGGACATGCTGAGGCTCCAATGCACACTGACCATACGGCATAACGTACATCGACGTTGTTGAATGAGCCTTGTACCACACGGGCTCCGAGCGGGAGCTCTATGGCGTGAGCTATTATTCTTATTATTTGTGAAGTTGTTGCAGTTTGAATGTTCCAACGTAGGACGGTTTGCATGACATAATATGATTATATTGTATGATTACGATATATTGTTACGACGAGGATGAATGAGCAGGTTAATGCGTTTA